ACATTGAGACCTACATGGCCCAGACATTGAGACCCACATTGCCCAGACATTGAGACCCACATTGCACAGACATTGAGACCCACATTGCATAGACATTGAGACCCACATTGCTCAGACATAGGCACCCACATGACCCAGACATTGAGACCCACATTGCCCAGACATTGAGACCCACATTGCATAGACATTGAGACCCACATTGCTCAGACATTGGCACCCACATGACCCAGACATTGCCCAGACATTGAGACCCACATTGCCCAGACATTGAGACCCACATTGCCCAGACATTGAGACCCACATTGCCCAGAAATTGAGACCCACATTGCCCAGACCTTGAGACCCACATTGCCCAGACATAGAGACCCACATTTCCCAGACATTGAGACCCATATTGCCCAGACATTGAGACCCACATGACCCAAACATTGAGACCCACATTGCCCAGACATTGAGACCCTCATTGCCAGAAATTGAGACCCACATTGCCCATACATTGAGACCCTCATTGCCAGAAATTGAGACCCACATTGACCAGACATTGAGACCCACATAGCCCAGACATTGAGACCCACATGGCCCAGACATTGAGACCCACATGACCCAAACATTGAGACCCACATGGCCCAGACATTGAGACCCACATTGCCCAGACATTGAGACCCACATTGCCCAGACATTTAGACCCACATTGCCCAGACATTGAGACCCACATTGCTTCGTACCTCCAGACAGGCTCTTAGAGCCCGGCATTGTGCTCGGCGCTTGGACTGCTCCCGACGGGTGCGCTGCCTGCGTACGACATCCCTAGGAGACACGTTGGGCTTGCCACCGTCAACCTGGATCTGCAGAACATGGGAAAATTAAAACAATGCAATAATAAAACTTACAAGTAGCACAATAAAATTCATATACTTTAGTAAAATAGACTTGAAAATATATCGGTACAATTAAATATACTTCAATAATAACACAATTAGTGAAAAATTATAATTTATTTCTAATTATTGATAATTAAACAGTTTGTGTGGGAAACTTGTACAAGAAATCCTCTTTGACCCACTCAATTTGGTGCATAAATTCTTGCATAATCAATAATAACAATATTTACAGATGCACACTATGCCTAATCTATAAATAATGAAAACTGTTACCTGCATTTTAGGTTTATTCAACGGCGGACCTTTCCGTGCATCAACAATCTGTCAGTGACAAGTGAATGGAAGAGACAAACTTTACACTCAATGGAATAAATAAAAAAGAGACAAACTTTACACTCAAAAAAGTGAATGGAAAAGAGACAAACTTTAAACTCAATGAAATGAATGGAAAAGAGACAAACTTTACACTCAATGAAATGAATGGAAAGAAGAGAAAAACTTTACACTCAATGAAATGAATGGAAAAGAGACAAACTTTACATTCAATGAAATGAATGAAAAAAGGGACAAAATTTACACTCAATGAAATGAATGAAAAAAGGGACAAAATATACACTCAATGAAATGGATGAAAAAAGGGACAAAAATCACACTCTATAAAGTGAATGAAAAAGAAACAAACTTTACACTCAATGAAATTAATGGAAAAGAGACAAACTTTACACTCAATGAAATGCATGGAACAAGAACCAACATTGGTATTGTTTCAAGTCATGAATTTCAAGTATTTTTTACATAAGTATTTTTTACATAAGTATCAAGATCACACTGAGATGTTCAACAATGGGAATTGTATAATAACAGATTTTTAACAAACTACCTAAACCCATCTAGAGAGGCAACTTTGGTATGTACTTGATTGAATGAAAGGTATTTATGGTAGATCAAAGTTACCTCAAAGTTATTTCAAAGATACTTCAAAGTTATTTAAATTGGGAGTATTTTTTATGCAAATAAAAAATACTCTTCATAATAAATATGAATATTATTATTAATTCATGACGATATTGAATCAATAACATTGTATTGACAAATTCTGGTCCAGTGGACAAACAAAACCCACTTGGGTCTAACCATTCTGCCTCACCTACCATTTACACAACCAAACAGAAAAATTTGTCTGCCTCACCTACCATTTACACAACCAAACAGAACAATTTGTCTGCCTCACCTACCATTTACACAACCAAACAGAACAATTTGTCTGCCTCACCTACCATTTACACAACCAAACAGAACAATTTGTCTGCCTCACCTACCATTTACACAACCAAACAGAACAATTTGTCTGCCTCACCTACCATTTACACAACCAAACAGAACAATTTGTCTGCCTCACCTACCATTTACACAACCAAACAGAACAATTTGTCTGCCTCACCTACCATTTACACAACCAAACAGAACAATTTGTCTGCCTCACCTACCATTTACACAACCAAACAGAACAATTTGTCTGCCTCANGACATAGTGTCTGCAATGAAGTAATTTCTGTAGTGGAATTTTAACTTCAATTAACACGTTGACTACGATTGCTTCATCTTGTACTATTATTTCATTTTTAGTACTGTTTTCAAACAGTTTTGCCAGATGGTCATTTTTTCCGGACAAATTCCGTGATTTAGTTTTTCTCAATTGTGTTGGCCGGCTAAAATTTATGATAGGGGTACTTCCTAATTACATTTTAAATACTGCAAAAAGAAAATGAATGGAATTTTTATAGCAGAACCTACAAATAAACAAGTATACATTGAAATATCGGCCTTTTTTGTTCTCGGATTTGGCCGATTTTAGGCAACCTGAATTTGTACCACTACGTCCTGGAGAAATATTTCGTGGTATGCATATGTACCACTTCGTAGTCAACATGTTAAATTATGTTCACCATAAAATAAATACCTGACCACTTACTTAAGCTAGATTTTCTAGTCAGTAGATTGAATGCATAAAATCTAAGTTTTTTTTTATTAAAGATTGAAACTTTAATGTAACAAATAAACAAATAATCTAAATAAACACAGTTTTATTAGAATAAAGTCTGTCATTAAAATATAAATGCATCAAGTCTGCCATAGAGATATCCAATGCATCAAGTCTGCCATAAGGTATCCAATGCATCAAGTCTGCCATAAGGTATCCAATGCATCAAGTCTGCCATTAAGATATCCAATGCATCAAGTTTGCCATTAAGATATCCAATGCATCAAGTCTGCCATTAAGATATAAAATGCATCAAGTCTGCTACTAAAATATTCAATGCATCAAGTCTGCTGTTAAAATATGAAATGCATCAAGTCTGCTACTAAAATATTCTAAAATATAAAATGCATCAAGTCTGCCACTAAAATATAAAATGCATCAAGTCTGCCACTAAAATATAAGAGGCATCAAGTCCGCCGCTTAAATATAAAATGCATCAAGTCTGCAACTAATAATAACTGAAGATGCATCAAGTCTGCCGCTAAAATATCCAATGCATCAAGTCTGCCATTAAAATATGAAATGCATCAAGTCTGCCATTAAAATATAAAATGCATCAAGTCTGCAACTAATAATAACTGAAGATGCATCAAGTCTGCTGCTAAAATATAAAATGCATCAAGTCTGACACTAAAATTTAAGATGCATCAAGTCTGCTGCTAAAATAGAAAATGCATCAAGTTTGGCGCTAAAATATAAGATGCATCAAGTCTGCAACTATAATATAAGATGCATCAAGTCTGCCGCTAAAATATAAAATGCATCAAGTCTGCCGCTAAAATATAAAATGCATCAAGTCTGCCACTAAAATATAAAATGCATCAAGTCTGCCACTAAAATATAAAATGCATCAAGTCTGCCANGACCTGCAAACCTGTTTCTAGTTGCCACTTGCCTGGAACTTTTTTTTTTCAAGGCGGAACGCTTTTTTTAAGTGAACCTCTAATCTTAGATTTCCACTCTGCTCTACCAAATAGTAATAAACTGTTTGTGTAGAAAGAATATTATGGTTTGAGACTTTTAAACGAGTCTGTGAATATATTAGGAATTCTTTAAGTATACTTGTATTTGCTGATTTTAGGTCATAAATAAATTAATAGATGATTAAGTTAACTAGTTAAGAGACGGTTATAGACACATAAAAACTAATTCTGACACAGCTTGGAATTAGACATACACAGCTCGTTCCAAGCTGTGTGCAAAAATTAAAATTTTCTTGATTAAAAGCGTAATATCTCTCAATTAAAAGCCTAAATAAGTAGGTAGTGTTCAATATTCAATAGTGTTCTAATTCCAAGCTGTGTCATATTCCAATACAGCTTACACAGCGATCGGAATTTGATTGGAGTGTTGGAATTCCAAGAGTGTTGGAATTACAAATTAGTAGAGTTTGAAGCGCGGCCGGAATTAGTCTCACAAAATGCCAAATTTAGTCACACAGTGTCAGAATATATGGATTTGGTAGGTTTGCATTCTAAAGGCTTGTAAATGAATATGGCAACATTTTGTGACGTTTCATTGTTGCTGGCACATAGTGCGGTGTTTGGAGAGTGAGAGTGACGTAAAGCAAACAGAACTCGAGTTGCGTGTATGTTGATTTTTTATGGCCATTCATTTTTTGCTACATCCTTAAAGTGTCAGAATATACCGCGTTTACCCTACCACCCAAGGTGGGATTCTAAGAATGAGGACGGCCGCGCTCGCGCGCGGCCGTCGTGACGCTCACGGCACGGCAGCCCGCGAGGGAGTCAAAGGGGGGGGGGGGGGGGGGGTGAGGGGCGCGTTTAACAGCAAGGTTTGCAGGGGTGCGTGCGATGCGTGGGTGCCTCGTACGATGCGTAATTAGTGTGATGCGTAATTAGTGCGATGCGTGGGTACCTCAGAAGATGCGTAATTAGTGCAATGCGTGGGTGCCTGGTACGATGGCCAACTGCAGATGACCCAACTTTTCACATGTACCTCCAGATGGACAACTTCTGACAGCATACCTGCGAATTCAAAAGTATGTTAATTTACATTGCACAACACGGTGAACGTAAGAACTCAAAAAAAAAGTAAATGGGTCAAAGGCATCAAACTGAAAACATTGAACAAGATTTATATTAAACTCAATATTGTCATTTACTTTTATTCAATGTTATGCAATTTGCCAACCCAACATAAAGTTTAACACAAGGCACAATACTCAGAATTTATGGAGACCCAAGTTCTAAACTTCATTCATTGGCAGGCCAGACATGCAAGTTAGTAAAGTTATCTTTACAAGTGATCATATCGTCCAATGACTTCCTAACTGCACTCAAGGTCAAGAATGCCAAATTAGCGACCTCTAGTCGTAAACTGCTGAAGAGCTCGACGACTCCAAGCACTTCATACAGCGCCGGGAATTTTTACATTTCTTCCTCCTCTCACAATATTCCCCTTTCATTTATTATTATTCACGATGCTAAACTGGACAACAATGAGTCATGTGGCGCATAATACCCTCGTTCACGAGTAATAGGCTATTGCAAGGCCGGGGATTCATTGCCAAGCAGTGGATAAAATCTATACCTTCAATGGTCACAAGGTTTCAGTTTTTAGACTCTCCTGAAAACTTGACTTTTCCGATTGCAATGCTATGTCCTATGATTTTTAAGCTACATCATTGAGAGACATACCATTCGATTCATAAAATCAAGATCTAGCGGTTCACCAATTGATTTTATTATAGTTTGGATTATATTTTGCAAAAAATTACTTACCTTGACTTCGAGTTGGAGAAAAGAACTACTCTGACTCTGAGCGACTGTGTGAGTGTGACAGACTGACAGTCACTGTGTCAGTGGTGACTGGTGACACGATTCCTCTGGACTTTACTTTTAAGACACAAGTTTCTAAGGAGTTACGAGTTTACGACAGTAGTGAGTGGCAACCAACACCAAGATCGTCGAAGTCAGGGGTCGAGTCAGTCCTTCAGCAATGCAAAAATAGCATTAATTAGTAATTTAGTCAGCACTTGACAACCGGTCGCCATAAGTAAGTTCAACTCTCAGAGGCTCGTCTCCTGTCTCAGTTGCCTGCCTCAAATCTCTCAAAGTTGTTTTCCATGGGAATACTTTACTTTTTTATTTCTCTGACTAAACTTTAGAAAATAAATTAATTATTCATGAATAACTAATTAGTTATTAGATAAATAATAATAATATCCCAGAAAGGCACAAACACTGATCGTATGAATAATATCCATACCAGAATAATATCCCAAATGGAGTATCAATGATGCAACGAAACATCTGGAAAATAAGTACATCTAGCGCAC